AGCCCTGCCAGTATCCTGAACCCAAACCCCACTCAGGCCGCTGCCCTCCCGGGGAAATCCAGCCCAGCAGGCCGAGTGCTTCGTTATTGTTCACCAACCAAGCCTTTCACAGGCCAGGAACCACGACTGCCAGCCTAGCCGGCGCGGGCTCCCTCGGCCGCAAACGCCACCCGGCTTCCCCTTCCCTCTTCGCGAAGGCCTCGTCGCCAGGAAAGCCGTTGCTAGGGGCGGTCACGTGCTCCAAACAGCCGCTCCTCTCCCTCTCTCCCCCCACCCCGCCTTGAACCGTCGCACGCGCGTGACGCGAAACGCCGGGTCTCCCGTCCGCCAACCGCGGCTCACGTTCGCCGAAAGGTGGGGGGGCGAGCGCGGGTTCCCAATCGGGAGACGCGTAAACAGCCGTCCCCCGCCGTGATTGGCTGCTCCGCCGAGACGTTCGGCCAGAGGGGCGGGGAAACGCGCCCGTCCCCGATTATTATCCAATAGGACGGGAGAGAGAGAGAGAGAGGGGCGAGCCGTCGTCCCGTCGAAAGCGGCTACGGGAGGAGGGGGCGTGGCTTTCCCCTAGGAGCCTTCCAGGGCGTCCTGGCCTGACAGTGACGGGCGCGGCCCGCCGCCAATGAGCGCGCGGCGGCGAACGTCGCCGGCCTATCGCGAGGGACGGAGGGGTCGAGCGCCGGTTCGGGTTGGGCGTCGGGGGCGGGCAGGGGGCGGGGCGAAGGCGAGAGGCGGCGAGAGGCGGCGCGCGTTCAAAAGGGGGGGCCACAGCCGGGTGGGGGAGGGGCGAGGAGAGGGGGGTTTTGGGGCAGCGCCGCTTCTCCCCCCCACTAAAATGGCGTGAGCCCCCCCAAAAAATACCATTCTCCCATCTTTCTGCGGTGCATCAGAATGGGGGGGGGGGCTTGGGGGGGTTTTTTTGCTTCCTGTCGCCCTGATATTGCAATGCTGGAGGAGGAGGGGAGGGGGAGAGAGAAAAAATAAATGTGGGTGGGGGCAGCGTGGCCTAGTGGTTAGGCTCTCTCTCGGGTCTGGGGGAGACCCAGGTTTAGGGTCCCCCCTCGCTGCCACCAGGGGCGCTCGCTGGGTGACCTTGGGCCAGCCCGGCCTGCCCTGCAGGGCTGTTGTGTGGGCAGAAAGGGGAGGGGAGGGCTTGGAATCGCTGGCTGGCTTGAAGTTGCTCTCTCGGCTTTGGCTGCCGCTGCGTTGGATTGTCGTGAAGA